CTAAGCTCTATTCATCGCATGTCGCAAGGAGGATGCTGTGAAGTTTCGCAGAAATTTCTTGAGCCATAGCACAAGGTTGACATTGGTCCGAAAGGCACCCCCACCGTGATCGGGAAGGACATCTGAGTCTGAGAAATCGAGACGTCCTAATTAAGGACATTCGGAGAAATCGAGACGTCCTAATTGAGAGCATCATTATCTAGAGAGAGACAGAGAGAGAGAGAGAGAGAGACAGAGAGAGATAGAAGAAGAAGAAGGAGAAGAAGAAGAAGAGAGACAGAGAGAGAGAAGAAGAAGAAGAAGAAGAAGAAGAAGAAGAAGAAGAAGAAGAGAGAGAGAGAGAGAGAGAGAGAGAGAAGAAGAAGAAGAAGAAAAAGAAGAAGAAGAAGAAGAGAGAAATAAAGAGACAGACTACTTTGAGCAATTGTTTTGCAGCTAAAGTCTGCTGATGCTGGGTGTGGCCGAAGTGTGTTTCACGCCGACTGGACGTAGACGGGCACCGCCAAACTCGCGGCTGCGCCGGGGCGCTCTCTGTCGAGAGAGCGTAAAGCTGTGAGAAGAAGAAGAAGAAGAGAGACTTCGCCAGCCTGCAGCGCCTTTCTGTGCCCCAAGAACTACGCGGTGTTCATGCTGCAGCTCCCACTGCTTGGTGCTCAGATGGCTCTGCATTTTCTAGGGATCCCATTTGAATTTCGTGCGATTGTGCAAGGCTGCTGCCACGCCCACCTGCCGTCGCACGCCGGCAAGTGCCTGAAGCTACTTCATATCACTTCATGCTGTTGTTGGAGCAAGAGGGTAATCGTTGCCGCGTCGCTCAGGTCTACAGGCCTGCCACTGAGTACTTCATCGTGTCACGTGACACGTACGTCCAGGAGCTACCAAGTCTAAGGTGATTTCTTCAGACGAGAAGCAAGATCTGGATTGAAGTTCCTGTAGAGCAGAAAGCCCCGAGGGTGCATAGCTTCCGTGAGTACTGAGCAAAGTCTCTCAGACTCGAGCGCTGGCAGTCTCCGAATCAAAGTCTTGCCCTTGCCTGCCACCTAGGGGGTTACGCAACAGATGCTGCATCCACTTTACGCTATTTCGCATCGTTGAAGTCTCTCTACCCCTTTACTTAGATTTTTGTTCTAGGCCGGTGTGGGTTTCCTTTCCTTTGGTTTGGCAGCGTGATTGCCCCACCTTCACTGTGCTTTATGTTACGCGCTTGGACCAGGCGAGTCCTGTTTTTCATCGGTTTCGTAGGCTTCTGCTGGACCCTTAGATGCTTTTCGCACTTTCTTAGTGAGAGCAACCCGCCCTCCTGGAATGGTGATGTGTGTGCGAGGCTCATGGATCATGCTCTTTTATGATCCCTGCCAGGACGGGTAGCAAGCTCTCATGGCCCGTTTTTGCTCTGTCAAGATTGGGACTGTGCAGACGACACGCATGAGGTGGAGAATCAAAAAGCCAGAAGAGACTGCGGATTTTCTGGTATTAGTCCATCTTAGCCATGCGCTTAGATGCCTAGCTTTGATGCTCTATTTGCGTGTATGATCCCAAGAACCTGAGCTAAGTTGCATGTCTGCGTCTTGCTTCACAAGCCGTCCAGCGCTTGGTCCAACCAGCGTAACGTGCGGGACGAAGCAGTGGGGCTTGAGCTGCGTCGGCCCAGGTGGTGGCAAGCTAGCCGGGGCCACGACTTGCTGTCCCGCAATGAATCCGTTTCAAGACGCTCTCAGGAAAAGAAGACTATCAAAGTCAGTCGAAAGAAGGGTGCCAAGCTGGGCTTGGAGGTCAAGGCAGATGTCAAGGTCCGGCAAGTTGAAATTGCAGGAAGTTGCAGTGGTAAAGCGAAGCATACTTATGCAGGGGGATCTTCTACTCGTGCAAGCCATCGGCGATGGCGCAGTGTCGGATACTTTGGGTGATAACTGTCCGCTGGCAAGCTCTACGTCTGAAAGTCTCCAGGCAAGAGCACAATTTGGAGCTCGCGTCCGATTCACCTCAACGGATACTCGTTGGTGATGCTATTGGGAAGGTTCGTCCTGCAGCTTGCTTTCATGCCAACAGAGAGCAAGACAGGACAAAGCAGCATGAGAGCAGCAGGTCGATGGCAGCAGCAAGGGCCTGGTCGATGTGGTCTCCCCAGTTGCGGCGGTGATTGTACCTGTCTTCATCTTTTCCAAATCCCAGGCGCTTTCCCGTACGGCCGAGAAGACCGTGGAACTCGAAATTCGACGGTCTACCTTGCACGAACCTTGCTAATAGAATGCCACAAAAGCATGAAAATTGCAACTCTGCCGCTCGAGGCCAAGCTTTCTGAAGTGGATGCGAACCTCTGCTAAGCCTGAAAGCCCGGAGTTGGATTATGGCGCTGCAACGCGCTGCAGCTCTACAAAAAGATGTTGTGCTTCTCAGGCCAGGTCCTGTCGAGACCGTGCTGACTGCTCCGGGCTTCAAGCGTCGCTGCCCCTGTGCAAGCAAAGGCTATGACCAGTGAGCCAAGCAGACCAAGCAGTAAGCTTCTTGCGAGGCTGGTCAAAGCTGACCTCGCAGCTGGGCACCGTAGGCTTGAATGTCGGGCTTACCAGAGCTCTAGAATCGTTTCTTGGTGTCTACGCTACGATCGGAGCTGCTCTTCGAGATGTTTCGTTGAACCATTTGCAGGTTTTGCTAGTTGGCTGCTCTCGGGCTATGGGCCGGCATCCCTGCCTGTGCCGCGTCGGCATGTGCTTCCAGACACGAAAATGACAGAAGCTGCGGCAACGCCTGCTTGGAGCCAGGTGGTACTTCGGCTTCTCCGCCGCTGTGGGATACAAGCTGGTTAGGCCATGCTGACTGACCCCACTGTGCCCAAGCTTGGTCCTCTAGAGTCTGCCATGCAGGTGTTGTCACGATGAGCATGTTCAAGGAGGTATTCCGCATTGCTACAGACCCGCCGCAGATTCAGCAAAGTGACGTTGTTCGGCAAGGCCTGCCTTAGACTTGTGAAACTAACAAGGTGGAGGATGAGCTGTCCGAAGTCATTGAGAAGGAAGCGGGCTTAGCTGAAGAGGGTGAGCGCCCAATCTTCCCCCGCTGCAGGCAAGAACAGCTAGTGTCTCCTTCGCAATGAAGCTTGTGAGTCAGTGGAGGCCCTTTGCCGCGGTGTTCACTTGCTCATTTGGCTTCATACAGCTCCTGTCAGCCTTTCAACAGAATTTGCACTGAGCTACCTTGCCTTCACTCGTAGTTGTAGCTTCCGTGTTTGTGCCTCGTCGACCTTCAACTTTTCTGTTGCCGTTCGACAGGTCTTTTGCGGAAGAGGTTATGGCTGCCTCCAAGAGCTCAACCGACAAAAAGAAAGACAAAAAGAAGCGTAAGAAGGAGAAAGAAGACAGCTGATGTGAAGCTGGATTTGGGGAGCCGAGTCTGTTGAGGCAGGGAAAGTTTGAATTATGAACAAAACTGCATGCTTGCCTGATTGCCTCATCCCCAAATCGAAGGCCAACGCCAAGGCCTCCACAGAACGGCACTCTGGCGTTAGTGACTCGACCATTGTCTGAGATAGCGGACTTGGTCCCGAACATGGCTTTGGAATGCATTTCGCCGGTATGCTACACCTAGAGGATGGATGAGCAAGCTCAGCACATGGACAAGCTGAAAGCATCCAAAGCTTTGGATTCAAGGGCCTATTGCCCATTAGCAGTCCCAGAGCGGACGAAAAAGAGCCGCTAATGCTGGAAGACACTCAGCCCATGCTTGTCGCGGGTCGTTTGGCAGGTACGAGTTAATGTGCGTGGATCGGCAACCACTGTTAAGATCTGCTCCACGAGGTGAAAGATTCTCAGACTGCAATGGCAAGATTGCCCGGCCCTGTCCAGGTTTCAACACAAGCGTACTAAGACAACAAGCCGTTCCTCCAGATCTATATCCCATCCTCTTAAAGCTTCTCAGTTTTGGGCTGAGCTGCCCGCTGCCAGCATCCACCACGCTGTGATGCCACCTTGCGCCATCCCCTGAGGTCCCAATCCGTCTGAAAGGCTCACAATTGCAGCTCTGCACTTGGAAGGTTAGGAAAAACTTGGAGAAAGCATCAGGGTTGAGCTGGTTGGCATCGAATCAGAGATTTCAGGCCTTCATCAACTCGGAATTCTTCATGGACGTCAATGCACATGGCCCAGAGCGGAAAGTTTGGCAGCAGGTGTACAGGGCTTGCATGTTTGTAGTCCGAGGTTCGAGCGATTCGGTTCTTGGAGCAACTCAATGAAAAGGATGAGGAAGCATCTGCACCAGCATCAGGCTAGCTCTGATGAAATGTGCAGCAGGCGCAGCGGGTGACTTTTCTTCGCGGACTGCCAAAGCTGTTGCAGGACGATGGGTTAGCTCAGCCACCCACTCCCTGTGTCTAAATCACTTTGTGAAACGGGAGCTGTTAAACACTAGCAGCTCCGTCTGATGTGTCATGCAGCGGATTTCTGTGCATGGCAGCGGCAGCTTTCTGCGGCTGAGTTCCAAGGACACAAAGAGTCCTCTTTGCAGTCAGCGGGTCATGCGCGAGAGAGCCCTGGTCTCAACGCAGTCTGCAACGAGCTTCAGAGACTGCGCTTCTGGTAGAAAGTTGCCATTTCAACTCATCAAATATTGCCGAGCTACAACATCTCAAGCTTGTTATGATATGAGGTGCTTCCCAGACTTTGTGGCCGGGTGCTCCAGTTGCAAACCTCCAGATGCATGGCCGCAGAATCCCATTTGACCGTGGCAGCTGATGGTCGGAGAAGTAGTTTTCCTCGCGCAACTGCGTTTGTTCCTCTCATAGGAATATTAGGGGATGTTGTCGACGCCTGCAGCACGCATTTTCAAACACCCAAGCATCAGACAGAAAGCTTACAGAACTTGCATATCAGAGTCGCAAGCAGGGTCTTGCTTGCCAAAAACATGTTGCCAACTTCAAGCCAGGAACAGGTAGGATAAGTATCGCAAGTCAAAAGTGTTCAAAGCCTTGATTCGATCTTGCAGCCAAAGCTATCCAGTGCGGATGGATGAAGGAGCAAGGCTCTCAGAGATCTCAGAGTTTCCTTTGGTTCTATACCTATTCTTGGCTAGCAAGCGGGCACGAGCTGAAGCCAAGGCATGGAGGTCATGAGAAGGAGGATGAGAAAGTAAAGCCTTGCGCCTACGGACAGTTCTGTTTACGGAAGGGCCCCTGAAGGGCAATGTACAACGTCAGAGCAAGGCAAAAGCAGGCAGCAGAGCTCTTTCGGCAGGGCCAACAGCAGCTTCGAAAAGCGCAGGCTGGCTTGAAGTTCTGCGTCAGCCGGCTGTAGACATCCGAGAGTTTGCGTTGACATGCATATTTGGCTCTGTCCAGCAGGCTGCTGTCGGAGATCAGGCACCGAGTTGTATGTCAGAGCGCTGGGCTTCTGTGGTATGCTGGCCAGCCATCAGGCCGTAGTCGAATATGATGCTTGTGCGCAGCTCTTCACGGAGGTTGGGTCTTTCAACCATCCAGTCCGTTTGTAAATCGCAAACATTCTATTTGATAGGCCATTTCGCTACGTCCACACCACGCGCAGTACTACCAGGTTGGCAGCTCTGTGGAGATGCTAGCTTCCGGAAGCACGTAAGCATAACCAATACTTGAGGCGCGGGGTCGCTGCTACATCGCTGTTCAACAGTGCGCCGCCTTGGAAGAGGGGCTTCTTACACTGCCGAAGCTGAAGTTCACATCTGTGTCTCCGGATGCATATCCCTGCAAGTTGAAAATACCTGGAATCGAAATTTGAGTTAATCGCTAGCACGAGGGCTGCCTCGGGGCGAGGATGGGAGGAATGGAGGCGGGACTAAGGGCAGATGGGAGGAGGGTGGAGCCGGGGGAGGGGGGAAGAAGGGCGGCATTTGCTGTAAATGAAGCCAGGAGCAAATTAATCTTGGACAGTCCATGTTTTGGTGTTTACATTTATTTGGTCAGACGCGTGAACGTCGTTCTTCTGTGCTCAGCCCATAGCCTTGACATCAACATGGAATTCCCATCAGTCTCCCTGTATCGTTGCTTGGGGACCTCTGCTCCATGCTGAAAGGCGGCCCGATGAGGAAACCTGAAGCGGAAACAGCTCTGAGAAGAAAGGGTAAAAACGCGCCGCTTTCGAATCATCAGACGGACACATTCCTGGCATGACTGTGAAGACGGGCTATGGTGACTAATTCTGATGTACTAGCAACGTCTCATCTACTCATTTGGGGCTCAGAGTTTGGGTCAGAATTTGTTGAGCCATGTTGTCAGCCATGAGTTCTGCTCACAGGGTTCAGTTCCAGGTGGCATTGTCATAGTTCAGGATGTAGAGAGTACTTGCAGTGGTGTTACGGGGTGTTTTTTACCAGCTGCTAGTGTCATAGTTCCATGCTCTAAAATTCTACTCTCTGAACAATGCCAAGTGCCTTGTGTCGCTCACCTAGAGGCTCATCCATCAAGTGCTCGGGACTGACCAGGTAGCGTCGTTGCGATGTGCTCGAGGTTTGCAGTGCAAAGAAGGGGTAGCGGGCTAGCAGGCGCTATGCGGGAATTCTGTATGCACCTAGATGCACGAAAGCAGCGGAAGAAGCGAGGGTGGTCATCATGTCGAACTCGTGGCTGCTGCGTCACGTGTGCTCAGGAGTCCCCCGATTCTAGAGCAGCGGAGCCAAACCCAACCCCAACTAACCACGCCCATCCCGCTGACAAAACCCTACACCGTGTATGCTGCTTAGCTGCTGGCAACGCCACAAGTACCATATGTGCTTGTTTGCTCCCAGACGAGTTTTAAGTTTGCTCGCGGTGTGTTGATGGCCAATCGGATGGACCTCAGAAACATCTTTGGTTGGGGCGAGAAACCTCAGCAGCCACAACACTGGTAGCCGTGCAACTGGCACAACGATGAACCGCAGAAAAAGGAAGACAAAATCGCGCAAGCCAACATGGAGTTTGAGATCAAACCACTGTACGGAGCCTTCTTGCACATTGCAACTCGTATGTGCGCAAACAGAAGTTGCTATGCAAACATATTGCAAAGAGGATTTAACAGGACCAACCATTAGATAGTGATGCAGAGGCAGCAGGAGTTGCTGCATGAGTTCATGCTTGAGCAAACCGGGTGGAGCCATGACAATATTCAAGTGACAGATTCTGTGCGAGCCACGCAGACTTTCAGTGGACGAAGTGCTCAGCATGATAAGCACGGACGAGCCTTTGCAAGGAACTAAGAGCATGCTCCTGAGCGCTTTTGCGTGATTCATCTCTGCGGGTTCGGGGTTTAAGGAGACGCTGCCGATTGGGTATAGAACATGTGGAGTGTCTCGGGATGGTCTAAGGTCTTGGGACATGATGCTTTTTCCTGCCTTGAATCTTATTCTTCGAGCGGGCATGAACGGATGTTTTCTTTAGTTGAGGGTGACTGGTTTTGCTTCAAAGGTAACCACTGTGGGAAGGTTTTCACTTTGAGTCGGCTGCACTGCTTCTTGGACGAATCGGGTTCCTCCTTTTGGGACGATGTCCTTGTATTCGCGAATCGTTTTTTCGATTCGACCGTTCTTTTCCTCCGTGGCTTCACCTTGCCGACGAGTTGCAGGTACCTGCGGGCACTTGGTGACTTCGTCGTATGTTGCAGAATAGAACCAGGCAGAGCAGCCCCGCGCCGTAAACTTGTTCAACATGCATCCTCTCCCGGAGGGATTGCGCGGCACTTTGCACACCGCGGGCAGTGCTTCAGAAGACTAGGCCGCGTGGAGGCCCGACAGCGTGCCACAGAAATCTGGAAGTGTTGACGGACCTGTTGCAGCAGTGCCTTCTTGTCAGGAGGCCTTGAAGGACTACGATGAAGCCCTTCGCAAATGCCCAATTTTTGCATTTTCAAGCTCAAGCGCCTTGGGATGAGCATGTATCGCAAAGGCCTTGAAAGAATCAAGGCGGAGAAGGACCCCTCAGAAACGCACCAGCGGCAGGCAGTGCAATCGGGTCACATTGGATGGCTGACATACTCTGTGGCATTGCCTTATATGATAAACCTGAAGACTTCGTGAAGGCTGCAGAGTACTACTTCGAGCGGGCGTCCGCACCTTAGCAACTCAGACTAGGACCAGCTTCGATACCGCGGAACCTGAGACTGGTGCACATTGACCTCGAGCAGTACGACAAAGCCATAGAAGGTTTCTCGCAGGCCTCGCCGCACTTGTGGATGCCAGCCTGCTGAGATTCGAAGCCCTGCAGGCACTTGACAAGCGCTTGGCCGCCCCATACAAGGCCAACAGCAGTCGACGAGTTTTTTTGCCTTGATTCTTCCTGAGTGGATCCCGCAGCGAGGCGTTCTTTCATCGCGGAATCTGCTACCGCAGAGTCACGTGCCTAAATGCAGCAGCTTTTTTCCCCGCATGAATGCAAATAATTCGCCTATGCGCCATTATGAACTACTGACAGCAATACTGAATGGAGCCTGGAATTGTGCAACGCATGCGTGAGATTTGCTTGGTGGGCAAGGTTGGACAGATTGCTGAGTCAATCCAGAATCTGAAAGAGGCCATCAACCTGGACACGGCACGGAACTGACCTTGTTTCAGGTTAATCCAGTTTGAACGGATGGAATTGCTTGGTCCTAGACTCAAGTTCTGCCAAGACTAGTGCTGATGCACACAATCATCTGGGCCTGTCCCACATACAAGAGCAGAATTTCGCACGTCCCTGAGATCCCCTGCTGTGAGGGATTTCTCTGCAAGGGTTGTCAGCACTTCTGAAACACTGAGGAAGAAGCCAGGAAATGTTTTGCCAATGCTGTTGAGCTGGATGCGTGCGCCAGGCCAGCACGGTTTTGCCATGCCAGCTATTGAGTTGCTTAGCGGACTTGCATGGGGCCGAGCGCGTACAACAGAATGATGTCTAAAACCGAAGGGCTTCAATCACAATGTCTTTGGTTTGGCTTTAGCAGTGCATTGGCAGCTTGCACAGCTAAGCCGCCCTTGCGTCTCAGATACTTAAACAACCGCGGCCTGGCAAGCTACCACTTGGAAGAGTCTGCCACTGAGCTTGATGTCGCAGTGATTAAACTGAGCCTCAGAAGCCTTAGACATCTTCGAAAGCTTTAGGTACACGGATGCTGCGGTGGATTTCACTGCTGCTCTGGATGCCAAACACACAGTTTTGGATGTGCTTGGTCATCTTGGGATTGTGTCAGCCGTTCCGAGGCAGAGCCAGACAACGCATCGGCGAGGAGCTTGGAAGCCCTTTGTAGTGTGCTGGCTTGCGAGTACGAAGAGCTGACAATGTTAGGTGCTCTTCAACCGTGGAAATGCGTACTTCCAGCTTGGACAGCACCAGGAGGCTGCCCTGTGATGTACCAGAGCCTTTGCGTAGACTAGGCACGCCTTCGCATAGGCTCTGGATGATTATGCTGAAGCCATTCGGCTGGAGCCTGATAATGCAACCTACTTGCACCACAAGGCGCGAGACTTGTAATGGTAAATCATTGCTCAACCCATCACTCTTCGCTGCCAGGGACTTGCTTATCAAGGCTGCGGAGAGGTGCGGGAGGCAATCGCCTGCTACGAGGAGGCTTTGGGAAGCCTCAGGCAAGAAGCTCAAGGTCCCTGGAAGTGCCTCCTGACAGGCGCTGCGAAGAGACCCCGGTCACCATCCTTCTCGGCCGCGACCTTTCCTTCCTTCACCGGTTGCAACATGTTGCAACGTTAGTGCTTGATGATTACCTCCTGATTGGGGCACAGTATGAAGCTACTCGTGGCTTAGTGGGATAATCCGTGTGCCCAACTGCCCACGCTTGGAAACTGGACGAACATCAACATGTGATGTCTTTTGATTTAACGAAGCGTTTGAGGCTTTGCATCTCCAGGCAGGTCCATGCAGAGGTGGCGTTTTCTTGCTTGGCTACCATGCAGAAGTTGAAGCACGCCTCTTAAAGCGCCCGCAAAACTGAAGACCACACGCGCTGCGGATGAGACATTTTGAAGGTAGAGCCGAACCACGTGCGTATCCGGAGAGCAGATCAACTAATTACACAGACCACACCTCCGGGACAAGCTGCCAAAACAACAATGTGAGGGCCAAGGAAATGGTTAGTTCCGTAAGTCTGTTGAGTTCAAGTTTTCACACCTGATGGCCGAAGCTGTTGTTGGCAGAGGGAATTTTATGACTGCGAAAGTTTGTGCTGTTATCCGCAGGGCCGTGTGAGGAAGGCTGTTTCAGCATGTTGGCGTGTTGGTTGCAGCAAGGGTGCTGGCTCCTGCATGGTTTCAGCATATGTGCATGTCTGCCCTATAGACTCTAACCATAGAGTATGTGTTGGCATGGAACCGTTCAGCTCAGATCAGGCAGCAAAACAAAAGCAGGCGCACTTTGCGAGTCCCCCCCTAGCTTTGGCTTTCCTGAAATGCTTGGTTGCTGGGCTTTCAGCAGAGATTGCAGCGGAGTGGTTGCTTTGGCAAGGACTTGACTTACCTTGCAAGTGCCCGCCCGGCTGGTAAAGTCACACATCTAATGTTTTATAATACATTAGATCAATGGAAGACTCGCCAAGCACCACTAGGTCTGGCCTTCTTGGCTGCGTTGTGCTTTATTTTGTTTTGTGCTGACCTGGCGCTAAGGTTTCATCTTGGCATTATGTGCCACGCAGATGGGCAGTACGATCGTGCGTGGCTTACTGTTGCAGAGCAGGGGTGTGACAGCCAAGATGCAGCAGGCCTGTCTGCTTTTTCATGGTGCAGCATGGTGCTGCTCTGCAGCTTGCGGGCTCAGGGATTGGAGCCAAATGTAGGATGTCGATGCCTCCTTTGCACTGAGAATCAGCATGTCTTGCGAAGCAGGGCCTGCGTAGCAGAAGTCAGTGTGCAAATGCAAGACCTTAGTCTTAGTCCGGGTCCATGGCAGAGTCCATCCGCACCCTCTGCCGGATCTGTGGGATCGGGTGAGCCAGACGTAGAGACTTTCCAGTCGTCTCCCTCAGCTGACGCCTCAACCGGTTCTCCAATGGATGGGGCCAACTTGGAGGGCTTTCAAGAGCATAATGCTCTCCTGGAGGGCATCACCGTGGATTCCTCTGTGAAGTCGCTTTCGGGAGCGCTGGAGTTGGCAGACAGCTTTCTTCTTTCTGGATCGTCGAGCAGTCAAGAAGGCCTAAATGTACATAGCAGTGGCCAAGACTGTCCTGTATCTGAAATGTCCACTCAGGAACCAGTCAGGAAGGAGGCAGTTCGTGGGAGCCTGCTAAGAAGACCTTGTCGCACTCAAGGGGGCTTGCTGTCCACGTGTCCAGAAACAAAGCCCAACGCGGGGACTATGGAGCTGCAAGAAGCCGCGACATCAGTCTTGGAAGCAGCGGACTTGAATGCCTCACTCCCTGCTTGTCCGCGGTCGGAGATGGATCTGGAGAATTCTGAGTCGGAGTGCGAGCGAGACCCAGCCCCGACGCCTGTGCCAACAAAAGCACAGGTGAACGAGACAGAGGATGTGGGTTGCGAAGCCTCTGCACCAGAAGGGCCTCCAAGCGAGCCAGTCTTTCTTCCTGTGCGCCGACGGCTCCGAGGCAAGAGTACAGCTCCGCGTCCCACCTGCGTTCAGGATGGGGCTTGTGACCCTTCCTTTTTCTGCTCACAGCAAGACTTCGAGGATTTCTGGAATCTTGGTTGCCGGTGGGTCAGATTAGAGGTTGATGGCATGGAATCTGCCCAATTCGCAACAAGCCGGCGTGCGAACTAAGGATATCAGCCCTCGAGAAAGCCTTGGATGAGGAAGATGAGGAAGAAGACCATAGCAGCTTGGAGCTGCATTCAGTTGCCGACCTGTACATAAGCTGAGTTTGAGATTCATCCAGCTGAGGAGAGAGTCTTCTGCGAAGACCAACTCCCAGGAATCGCCTTGAAGCATCTCGTGGAGATGCGATCACAAAAACACTCAAGCTGCTTGGCAGATCTAGATTTTTTTTCAAATTTATTCTCGACTTGGTTCATTGTTAAGTGAGCAACAAGTGCTGGCATCGTATCGGGAAGAGATGTAAGGACCGGCCTGTCATCTTTCTTGGCGGACGCCAAAGCCCGTCCTGGGAAAGGTGCAAAAAAGATATCTGCGCAGCTGCAGGAGATTGCAGCGCGACGAGTTCGCGGCTCTCCCTACGCAAAGGGAAAGCCATCAAAGCGAGTGCGCATAGAGACACTGAAAAGAAGTGTCGCTGTGGATGGCTCTAGGCTGCGCCGAAAGTCTTAATTCCAGTTTGCGGCTGGCAGCATGCGGGCAGCACAGATGCGAGCAGAAACTGACATCTGCATTTGAAGCAGACGACTTGCAGCTGGGCCAGGAGAAACAGCCCTTCGTCAATACATATGAAAGTGCGAGTGAGAGGTCTGCACTAGAATCATCTTCAGGTGCTTTGGAAGCCTTCAATGGTGGTGTGCCACCGGATGAAGCTCTCCACGAGGTGGCAGACTAGCTCTGCTGGGCCTCTGTTTGTGCCAGTCAGTTTCGGCAGCAAAGCTGTTGAAGCGTTTCAGGCGCGTGGCCTAGTTTACAGAGATATGGGTGACTACCAGATCCGGCCTCAGAAGTAGTCAAAGGGTCTGACTAAGTTCAATCCTTTCAGGCCCTCCGTTGCATCTGAGGACTGCTCTGGTGGACTTTGATGCTGTGATTGACCTGGAGCCTCAGCGAGGAAGGCACTACTACAATCGCGGCGTTGTCTATCATCGCATGGGCTGCGAACCTAGACGTGTTGTTCCAGGTCTTGCTTGCTGATGGTTTCATTCTCCATCCTGACCCAGGCCGCGAGCAGGATGCTATTGAGGACCTCTCCAGAGCGATCGACCTCGGCAGCACTGAGGCAAGCATCAGAAGTTGTTCTATCGCCATGTGTCTGTACTGCTTGCGTTGCTTTTCATGCAGTTCGGAGGCAGCAGTTTTCAGCGAACGTGGCCTGGCATGGAGATCCTTCGGAAACATGGCCCAGGCAAGAGTTAGAGCAAATACCTCACAGCCCAAGAATGCTTCAAATGTGCAGCTGGATTGTCTCCCTGCAAATTGCAGGCTGTCATCGACCTGACTGCCGCGATTGAAGCAGATGGCACTCAAACGCTTTATCTGTCCAACCGCGCGTCCGGCCCTAAGTCAGTCTGGACACATTGGGTTACTGCCTGGACCTTTCGCATAGGCAGTGCGTACCCAGGGGCTCCAAGCTATTGGCACTCACAATTTATTGGTTTCAGGCAATGCCTTTTCGAGCAGGGACTCTATGACAGAGCGGAGGCACCACACGCAAAGTCGTACAAGAAAGAGTTGTGTTTGGGGCGGGTTGCGGCCAGGCCGATTTAAGCAGAGCTCTTCAGATTGATGGTCGTGATGCTGAGCTGTTGTACAGGCACGTTACTCTGTGAAATTGGAATGATGGTTTGGCATGCAAATCATCACAGGCGCGGGATTACTCGCTATGCTCAGCGGCACTATGCAGAGCAACTTGGCTGGAAGTTTGTGGGATGAGCAGCAAACTGTTGCGCGTACGTGTGTGAAAGGTCCATAGCTGATTTGAAGGCAGCTTTGGCGCAGGCAAGCAGACACAAACCACAGCTTCGCTGCAGACGGTTGCTGTGCCATGTGAGTGTTGTCAGGGCCCGATACCAGGGCACGAGGCAGAGGTCTACTATCATTTGGGCTAGGGCCTGTGGACATCTCCAAACTGGAAGCTGTGCATCTTGGCCATTTCAGGCGTCTCATACGCCAACCTCGGCAAGCATCAACTGGCCGGAGCGTCAGCATCACCTTCTAACCATGGGGGCACGCCCAGCTGCTGTAATGCTGAGGCCGTACCAGTGTATGACCAAGCGATTTCGCTTGCAAAGGGTGACCGTCCCCATTATCTTCATGAGCGAGCAAGCCTCATCTGTCGGGATCGTCGCGGCAGGGCTGTGCGAACGGTTTTTGTCATTTGTGGTTTTGCACAGTCTTAAGTAGGCAGCCTTCAGCTTCGCACATTTCTACAAGCATTTGGAAGAAGGTCTGAGAATACTAGCCCGAAGCAGGACCATGCTGCAATGTTGGTGGAACTTGATGAACTGTCGGAGTCCCGGACCGAGGTGCAAAAAGCTTGCAAATCATCGGCGAGCCTTTATCTCAGCAAGACGGTCCGAGCAAAAGCGCTTCTTTGATCTTGCTAGTCTTTCCCTTCAGGCACAAGCGCGCTCTGGATGATTTCTCCAGAGTTATTGACCTGCAGCCAACAAACGCACGCGCCATGCCGGCTTCCTCAAGCTGTAGAGGTTTATGCTCAATTGCTGGACTAGAAGTGTTGAGGTTCCGCCGAGCTTTCAGCTTCAAGGCCAGCGGATAGCCTGCAAGCTCTTGAAACTCTCTGCTATCCTCTGTATTGCGCAGAGGCAGAGAGCATGTACGAGGAGGCAGCAGAGGACTTTGAGGCAGGTGGGTCAACCAGCGATTTGCAGCATACATGTTGTCTAGAGCATGTTGTTGCGTTCTGTCGCTCCGCACATCAGATCATGGCCTGGATCAGACATTGAGATTTCCCTCACCATCGTAAAGCTTCTGCGTGCTTTTGACACACACGCATGTTCCATGGGCAGAGGGTTCTCGCGTTGTTGATTCTTGGCGCTGATGCCGTGCCAGAGTGGTTATCAGAGCAGGGCTTGGCAGGACGCGTGCAGATTGTCAACGTCTCGGCAGACAACCGAGGATTAAAGGCAAGCACAGCCCACTCTCAGGGCGACGAGATTCTAAGTGTTCCTCTGCGGCATGTGTTCTGTCTTGAAACTGTGGCCAACTTCCGCTTGGGACGGTTGCTGCTTCATAGATCTGATCTAACCGCATCAGATATCCTGGCGGCAGCTCTTGCTGAGCATGCTCATGAAAGATTCAGAGAAGCCATCCCGCTCCGTCTTCTGCCAGAAAATGTGTCCCATCATCCTCTTTTCTATGATGATGCCACGTGGAAGGTGGCTGACAAGCTCGTGTCCGGACGCTTTTTAAGGTCAGCCCTGGAGGAAGTACAGCAAAGCTGGCAGAGAATTTCTGCTGTTTTACAGGGGTTGTCTGTGGAAGCTGGGCTTCTGGAGCGCGATTACCGCTGGGCCCACGCCATCCTCCGCAGCCGTGGTCATACAGTCCGACTGCGAAAGCAAAATGGAGAATGGCACAGCACATGGGGCTTGGTGCCCTTGGCTGACATGATAAACATGGATCCTCAGCCTAACGTGGACTGTCGAACCAGCTATGCCTCCAACTCAAATTCCTGGGGCCTGAACGGTACCTTCCATTGCACAGCGCGTGGCAGCATCGATGTAGGCCAAGACCTCTGGACAGAATATGTATCTAAAGCAGAGCTGCGTACAAGCGCCACATTTTTGCGCGAATACGGCTTCGTCCCAGCAGAGTGTCCACATGATGCGCTCAGTTGGCTTCCACCAACTTGCACAAGCTTGCGTTGCATGCTGCGCCTTGATCCCGAGCAGCTGCAAGAGCAGTTCGGTCCAGCAGCTGCTACTTTTCTAGAGCAAGCGCTGCAAAACGTTTCCTCAGTTGAGGCAGAGACGCAGCAGCCTGCCTTAAAGTCACTGGCACAGAATGAAAGGAATCTTTTGCTTCAGCTTCGTGTTGCCTGGCAAAGATTTCAGCTCCCAAGGGCTATGTTCGAGAGCTGGCGAGGGGAGCCAGACTTGAATCCAAGTTCTTCTGAGGCGCAACGATTATTTCAGGTACTACGTTCTGACGATATGCTGCATACTCTTGCATGGGATAGGGCCATCTGGGACGCTGGCCAATTATTAGTGTCGCATTGGGACTACGCTCTGGCTGCTGAAGTTCTGTACAGCCATCATGACTTCACAACTGAACTTGAGCAAATCTTCCGCATGCATCGGAAAGAGGCAATTACGAAAAAGGTGCTGCAGTGTGCGTTTGCTGCGCAAGCGCTGCTGAATGACTTCGCCTGGCCTGTTGATGCAGAGGAACGAGCTGCCATAAACGAGACAACGGACACCCTGGTGAGGGCAATGTTTGTTCCTGACAGGATCCGGAGTTCTGGATGTCCTAGAGCTGAAGCGCTTCTGTCTGAACGTGAGTGGGAAGAGGAAGAGCAGATTGAGCGCTGCCCCTTCTGGGCGGGTGCTGCGGAGAAAAGCGTAGAGGAGATGTATACCTCTCATCCCTATCCTTCATGGCGACGTTTTGGACATATGTCGGGCGGCCCCAGGACGAAAGTGAGGCGAAGCCTCATTGCAGGTGTTGGCACAGGCAAAGCAGTTCTGGCACACCTTCAGCATTTCGATCCGCAAGAGATCCTTGCAGTTGACCTCAGCAAGCCCTCACTGAAAGTTGCGAAAAGACAGTTCCTTGCCCTGGGCATCAGAAATGTAGTTCTCTGGCAGTGTGATCTCACAACCTTGGAGGGGCAGTTCGACGTAATAGAAAGTGTTGGCGTGCTCCATCATCTTCCTGATCCAGCTGTGGGATTCAAAGCCATGAAGCGGCTTCTTGCACCCAAGGGTACACTGGTCCTGGGCCTGTACAGCCGTATGGCCCGACGAAGCATCCCCGTCATCCGCCACTTGGCTAGGAACGCAAATTATGAACAGTTCCGTACATTTCTTACCGGCGGTGAGATGGCTTCGCCTGGAGAAGAAGGACACGTTGAGAAGGCCCGCTTCCAACGAGAGTTTTTGACAGAGTTCTCAATATCTTCGCGCAGCACCTTTGAGGACTTGCTCCTTCATCCTGTAGAGCATGTTTTTGAACTTCCGCAGCTGGAGGAGCTCTTGGCCGAAGTTGGCTTGAAAATCACAGGTGTCCGCGTGCCACCAGGGATCAAAGGCGTTGCTGAACGCTGGCAACCTTTCTTCATGCCACAGCGCAGAGAAGTTCCGGGCTGGCCACATATGCCTTTGCTAGCATTCCTGCACCGGATTGAGACAGAAATTCATCCATTGCTCTTTACCAACATGTACGTCTTCACCGTTGCTCACGGAAGCTCCAGCATTCTGAGGGATATGTCACCCTGGCTCTCGCAGGATGATGTAGATGCGGAATCCTTGCCTCTGCCCTTCGAAGCGGAGTGGTCCAGGGAGATCCTGCAGTCTGCCGTTGAAGTTTTTTGTTCACGGGTAATGCACCACGTCAATGGTACTGGCAAATGGACTTCGCCTGCAGTTGCTGCCTGGCTTGAATCCAAAGTGGCACTTGGCCCTCATGCTGCTCAAGTTGCACGGGCGCTGCGGACAGGAGATGCTGTGGCACAGTACTGTGCGATGCTGGTCTCCCATTTTCTGGAATGATTCGAGCGGTGCCATGAGGATGGAGTGTGTGCTTCAGGCTTCGTTGGGTTGTGAACCTTGACCGTTGGAAGCAACAGTGGCTGATGCTAGCCGTGAGACCTCGCGTGCGAGTTCGTGGATTCTGTTCGCTCGCGCGCTTGTGGCTCCTGACCCTCAAGATGAGCGTTAGCCGTGGCGAATTCCGATGATGGCATGGGCGTGGAATTGCAAAACAAAAGACATGAGCTCATGCACACCAGGGCTTGTGTTGCGTTGGCATGCGTCAAGGGGTCCCGGCTTTTGGATATTTCAGTGAAGTAATTGCAGTCTTTGCTGCTGCTGCTGCTGCTCCTGGTGCTGCCATTGTCATGCGTGTCCGGAAAATTCCGGAAAGCATTACATCCAAAGCGGGGTCTCGCATCGTGGATGCTCGACTCTGTACAAAGACTGCAGGAAAACATTGCATGCAAGCCCTGGACAGCGGCACCGTTGAGAAGTCAGACTCCACGCGCGGCTGCTACGAGAAAATGAGCGGCCGCAAAACATAGCTTGATTAGCCCACTAGCCAAGATGTGATGTTTCCTGCATGTCAACATGGTATGTTCCAGACAAACACGTACTAAGACCTAGGCTTTCGTTGGCGATTGTGTCAACGTTCACAAGCTGACAGAGGAAACCAAACAAGCGAAACAATGAGTACACAGGATAAAAAGACATCGCTTTTCAGATTGGAGTCCACGCTTTGCTGGTTGGATTCTGTAGGTTGTAGCGCTTCCCTGAGCAGCTGCCTCTAGCCCTGGACAGGCAGCCAAAGAGTTTGCACCTGATGATCCTCGTTTAGTCATCAACTACCGCAAGGCAGGTCTTGAGTACGGTCAGCTTGTTGTAACCATTGCGGTTGAGGTCTATGATGTGGCCTGCATCTCCCTGGGGCCGTGTGGCCATGAGGACTGCGTATACCACATCAAGAGAAACGTGCCATCTGGGACTCGGAGGATCCAAAAATCAGCGCTGTTTGAAGCCATATAGGAGCACACGCGGCAAAGCCTCGCAGTGCTCAGTCTCACCTTGGAAGTCTCACTTCGAATTCTGTTTCACCAACTTATTTGACAAGCCAACAAGGAAGTCTGAGTGGATGCTGCAGCCGGCCGGTTGCATACCTGAAGCTACTTCAGGAGCAGTATATTTGTCAATGCCTTTTTGCTGAAGCAAGCAGCATCATCTGATCCCTAGTGTGTGCAGCAACTCTTGCTTTGGCACAGTCTGACCGGTGTGCGAAGTCAACGTTCATTCATCTTTTCAGGTGCTTTGCTTTTTCCGTCGCTATATGGCGTTGGGCTCTTGGGCGGCTGAAGATGCCTCGTGGCAAATGCTTTCGCTCGTTATCTTTGTAGCCAAAGGTCGCCGTCCCGATCATTATCAACACGTTGAAGAAGGATCGTTTGTCCGACCCTATGCATTTCCAGGCCGGCAAGCTCGACTGGCGAGAAGGTCACTAGTCTCTGACAGAGTTGAAACTCTGCCTTGGATGCTTCCTAGAGCCTGAGGGGGGTCACAGCCAGGCCGTGCTTCAAGACACTATGCAGCATCAGCAGCATTTTGCAGACTCTGCACCAGCAGCAGTAGTAGCAGCTGCTGACTGCAGGTTAACTGCATGCGCTTGAAGGGGGCATACTTGGGGATCCCCTGCATGCGCGTTGGAGAAAATCACCACGAGTGATGCAGCCGTTGTGCCCTATCTTCAAATTGGGCATGACACTTGCACGTTCGCAACGTCGTGGTTGCAGGCCAAGCTCTGGCCAGCTCTGAAGCCGCTGTTCAGCGCCAAGGAAATTCCGATTGAGGCCCTTCAGGGTCATTTGTCGCTGCTAGGCCGCATGTGGCCGCTTAATGCCGTCAATAAGGAGTCATAATCCAAGCTGTCAGAGCTTTCTTGGTGTCTCATGCTGGCCCGGGCATGAAGGGTTCAGGCACCCCATGCAGTTGATGAGAGCAACGAGACTATAATACTAGGAGCGCCGTATAAGAGGCGCAGAGACAACCGAAGGTAATCTATGCGGTTGTCAGCAAAAAAAAATCCTTGAACCATTTCAGTTAGATGCAGCAAGCTTTTTGTGCAGTGATGTTTTGGATAGGTGCTCATGCTTCCTCTATGAAATGCATGCAAGCTTTGGCAGGTCGTCACGCTTTTCTTGAAGGAGTTGGATTTATTGGTCTCCCTGGCACCCGCAGCCGAGACGCAGGCAGGACCTGTCCGGACAGGAGACATTTGCCTGTGCATATTTCTGACATTGTCCTCCAGGCAGTCTTGCTGCCCTTCCTGCTGCGATGCATGGAATTACAGGAGCCGACCATCCTGAACGAGGCCGCAGGAGTTGTTGTGTCCAAGATTGGCCGGCTCTGGGTGTGATGGTGCGTGTGCTTGGGAAGGTGTTAGAGAAGGTGCCATACCTGCACAAGAAGTTCGAGTGAGCCGCTGCCGACGAAGCAGCTTACAAGCCATCACAACTTGCACCTGCTAGCTGTGCAGGTACCGCCAAGTGAAGGACCAAATCCTCCCCAGGATCGGATTCCCACGAAGATACCTGTGAAGACCATGGGTATTTTGTTTCAGGATGCTGCAGCTCCTCGGCACAGCAGCACCAAAAGTCAAGGTCCAGGCCATCCGCAGAACTCGAAGCCAACCCTTACAGTGACGCATGCGATGCCGTTCTCCCCAAAGGTGCTCATGGGCTTAAGCCGCATTTTTGAGATCTTCGACAAAAACACGCTGAGACCTCTGCATCCACATGCTGCTCAGCACTTGGCGAGATATTTGTTCGGGAATCCGTTGTTCAGGATTCAGGATGCCGTTCTGCCAGCTTTTGAAAAGCTGACGAAGTCGGTGCGCCCACAAGAGATCCTTGCCCATGATCAGCCCAGTCATGTCAGAGATGTTTGATGATCTGTCCAGCATTTCGGATCAAGACAACAATTCACCACGAGAAAAGTCAACTGCCAGCTGACTCTGCTGGCTTGGTGCTACAGTAACAGTTGAGACACCTTGACTTGAAGAGCTTTGCAGGTCAGGTGCAGCAGCAAACACATAGCATGATGCGGGCCTTGTGTTGCTGGAGTGTGAAAATCGAAGGCGTGGAGCAAGTACTTAAGCAACTTACGGCAGCGCATGTGCTGCTTGGAAGCTGAGGCGATGCAAGATGGATCCAGCTTGCATGCACATCCTCCTGCAATTTGTCTGTGGCCCAGTACCTGTGTTTCCCAGCTTGTGAATCCGCAAGACTTGATTGGTGGCCATGGCAGGTGCGGACCTCTTCCAGCGATGGCTGCAAGATGACTGCTACTGCCCCACCGGTCGCATGCTTAGCAGTGTCTTTCCGCGAGCTTGTGAATATTCAAGATTTGGGAGCGTGGAACTGCGTGTATCTACTATCAAAGTTCTTCAAGCAGCAGACAGGCAAACCCCTCAAGCAACACAACACCCATTCCTCGTTAGTGTTGGTAGGGTTTGTGCTGAGGCCTTTTCTGGAAACAGCCACCTCAGGTCAAGTGCTGTCTTGACAAGATTCACATGCACCGCCTTGTTCATAACCATAGCACTCATGCGCGAGGCTGCTTCTGGCGCAGACTACTGGCAGCCTGCACGGAGGCATCCAGCCTGTCGACTCCATCCTTGCCAGCCCTGGCCGTGAAGCAAATCTAGCTTCGCGTTGGTAAGAGAGACTGTGGTGAGGCTGCGCGGTTCGCTCCAGCTGCTTCCTCAAGTTGCGATGTTCAAGCTGTCACAACTCAAATCCATGGCTGCCCTGCTGAGGGAGAACCACCCATGGTGCGAACTGAAAGGGCACACTACTGAGGGCTTCGAGCATCACAAAGAAAAAGAAGCGCAAGTCAAGTGGCCTGACGTCTAAAGGCTGGAAATTTGGGGACTCCTGTACGACACCTATGCCCTGGCAGCCGGTCGTGTTCCAAGTGGGAGGCCACAGTCTGCAGCAATGTCAAAGTTTCGCCTTCAGGCTTTGGCTTCATGGCCACGGCTTTTTGGAGTGCCGGGCACCATGATTTTGCCTACGCTTATGCAGAAGCTCTTTGTGCAGAGAGCTTCATTGCAGTTCGTTCGGTTTCTCCACTGAGTTTTACTTCTCCACCATGCTTCATTGCTCTAATGCAAGAAGACCGAATGAGGGGAGAGGGCTCAACAAACGCGAGCTCCGTCGGAAGAGACCGTCTTGCTGCGTTGGAATCGCTCTCCATGCTCTCTTCTCTTCCTCTTTCCGTGTTGAGGCAGCGCGCCTTCTACGCGGCTTTCACGTGGAACCATGCTCAGCTCCGACAGTGCTTGCTAGGATCACTATGCGACCGAGTCGTACTTTTGGCCGAGGCGCGAGAAGCCGACAAGCGGCTCCAGGCATCGTTGTGCTCGGTGTGATTCCATAAGCGTATGTTCGCAACCGCAAATAGAAGACCCAGAGGTCGTATTTGAGGCAGTAGCATCCGAACATCAGATAATCTGAATAGGTCGCTATCCACATCTTCTGCCTTGTCTCCTCTCTGGTACGCCTGGGCTACATCATTTGCGAGGCTCGTGTTCCCAAGGTTGTCAGAGCTGTGCATAAAAGGTTGTTTTCAGAGTTGCAAGGGGCTTCTTCACTTCGGAGTCGTAGGGATTTGCTGATTTACGTCTGTTGCAATTTCGAGCTTCCTGGGCTCTTGCATTGGCAGTGCCACAGCTCCATTTAATTCATTCTGGTTTAGGTGTCATTTCCGGTCTAGATCTGTGGTATTGCCGTCTGACCTTCAAAACCAGATTCAGCTTTACATTTCCCAGTGGTGAAATTTGTAGCTCTATCTGAAGGTTCGCTTGTGGGCTTCAAGCGGGTGTCTACTGGGCTGGGTCTCAAAGCTTGAGAGCCGGATGTGAGCTTGCCTCAATCGCCCTGCTGGTGGGGCCGCGTCGAAAAAGGTATGTTTTTTTCCAGCTGGGAGGGAAGAACCTTGTCGCCAACATATTGCAAACTGGGCCAGGCAGGGCTTGCCTTGGCTGGTTGTATGCATGGTGCCTTCCCCGCTGGTGCAAGCATATCCCGCACATGAACACTTAAGAGCCTCCGGCTCAGT